GCTCTGAGGCGACGTCCAACAGCGCTGGGAAGCATCCGCTGGAAGCCCAGGCTGTCAAGGACACCAGCTGGAGTGGAATGTCAACAAAGCAGGTTCCCAGAGCTAGACGTGGGAAAGCTGCAGGCCAGGAGAAAAACAAAGACAAGGCGTCTTATCACCTCACAGCTGCGACAGTGTGCCTGGGAAAAGGCAAAAGCCTTGATCGGGGGGAGGCTGTGTGCATGGCAACCAGACAGAACACTGACTTTGACTCTTGCAGAGGCCCCGGTGGGGGTGCGAGCGTTGCCATGGCAGCTTTGGAAGACAGCCAGAGAGACACTGTATCTCTAATTATAGACACGGGAGCGACTCACTGTCTTGTGCCATCTGCTGGGCTCCTGAGGAACTGCAAGACAGTTAAAACTGGACGTTATGTCAAAATGGCAGATGGAGTTAAAAGACCACTGACTAAATCTGGGTCTTTATATTGTTCTTTCTAGATTGTTGGGTGCAAGCTTATGTTGTCCCAGAGCTTGCGCACTCTCTTTTAAGTGTAACAGCCTTAAATGATGAAGGGTTCGATGTTCGGTTCTCTAACAATTATGCTCTTTTTACAGGGATGGAAAGAAGGTCTACAGCGTTGAGAGAAACAGACAGGCTCTTTCTGGTGCAAGATGCCTGTTTGAAATGGGGCTGGTGGAGAAGTGGGACTAGTGGAAAATGGGACTGGTGGAAAAATGGGGCTGGTGGAAAATGGGGCTAGTGGAGAGTCCATTGAAGACGCACAAAGTGCAGTGTGCTAATGTCCCACCACACAATGATTGTATTCATCTGTGGCACCGAAATTTTGTCACGCTGGGTGGTCGTCTGTGCGAAAAGCCGCAGAGAACACCATTGGTTGTAGGTTCAAGGCATGTGACAGATACCTTGATTGTCAAGCCTGTAAGCAATCTAAGGGTCACAACATGCTCATACCCCAGGTCCAGAGAGGCGAACCAGCAAACCCTTTGAACTTGTGCATGCAGATTTGTCAGGACCCATTGCCAACACCTTTCTTTAGCTGGGTTCGAAATGGGTTTTGGTTCTGATAGTGACGATTTTTCGAGGGTTTTCTTGGGTTTTTGCGCTTCAATGTAAGTCAGAAGCAGCTGCACTGATCAGAGATTGGATCACAGCGATAGAGCTGCCAGTTCTCTACCAGGGGTGATTTCCTTTCAATCTGATTCGCGGGGGTGAGATTCACAGGTTCTGCGATGCAATCGTTTTTTTCAGGCAGAAGGGTAGTCAGTCATCGATTGACTGCCCCCCTACAGTCCCGCAACATGCAATGGGATTGCAGATGAGGAGTTTGCCGCACCACGTACCAGGAATCCAGCAAACGCAATGTTGGCAGATTCGGGGTTGCCACAGCGTTTTTGGGCTGAGAGTTATCGGACAGCATGTTTTGTGCAGAATAGGGTGTACAATTCCAGTGTAGGCAACACACCGTATTTTTTGTTGCATCAGAAGAAGCCGAAGGTGGGGTTTTTTCATGTTTTTGGGTCTCCGGCTTGGGTTCTCACTCCAAAGGCCATGCGCAGAAAGGGTGAGCCAAGGTCTAGGAAGATGATCTTTGTGGGCTATGAGCCGGGTTCAAAGGCGTGGCGTTTCGCATACCCTACTGGCAACCAGTCCAAGCTGCTTATTAGCGGCAGTGCTGAGTTTTGCGAGCAGAGTGGGTGAAACGTCTTCACGGGAACCCAGATGTTCTGTCAGACTCAGATGAGGAAGAGGAGGAAGGCGAGGCTGAACCGGCTGCTGATGCGGCACGGTCCACAGCAACAGGGTCCAGCGCCAGTTTCTCCAAAAGGGAGTCCCAGGACCCCTCCACAGGTTTCTGTCAAGTCTGAGCCAAAGAGTGAGCCCTCCCCGCCTGCAGAACCAGTTGTGAGGCCAAAAGGCGCAGCAGGTCAGAGGGGGAGGTTTCTGACACAGGAGATGGTAGGGTTGATCCAGGTGAATCAGGCGCAGTTCCAGAATTCACGCTGAGGAGGTCAGCAAGATCAACGAAAGGAAAGCCACCTGAAAGGTATGAAGCCACTAGTGTTTGGGTTGGTGTGGCTAGGTGTGAACCTGAATCCTTTGAGGATGTTCAGAAGTTGCCTCAGCAAGAAGCTAGCAAATGGCGCGAGACGATGCAGAAGGAGATGAACTCAATGGAGTCTCATGGTGTGTTCTCACTCACACAGCTGCCGGCTAACCAGCGAGCTGTTACTTGCAGATGGGTTTACCGATTGAAACCCACAGAAGCAGGAGAACCACAGTATAAAGCGAGATTAGTGGCCCGAGGATTCTCACAGAAAAAGGGGGTACACTTCACGGAAGTGTATTCGCCAACCTCGAGAGCAGAGACTCTGAGAATGCTTTTGGCGATAGCAGCACAGAGAGGTTGGAAGGTGAACCATTTTGATGTAGATGTCGCCTACCTGAACTCAGATCTCAAGGAGGAGTTGTACATGCTTCCTCCTCCAGGGTTTGAAGTCAGTGAGCCAGGCGTCGTGTGGCGGTTGCACAAATCCATCTATGGATTACGTCAATCTGCCAGGAATTGGAATATGTGTCTACATGAAGCCTTAGAGGAGCTAGGTTTTAAGAGATCTCTTGCAGACAGTTGTCTTTACATTAAAGGTTCAGGCTTAAAACAGCAAGTGGTGCAGGTGTTTGTTGATGATATCTTGGCAATGGCACAGACAGGTGAACAGGTGGAGAAGTTTGCTAAAGAGCTTGGAAAACGGTTCAAGCTGAAGCAGCTTGGAGATGTCAAGTCTTACCTAGGCGTCCAGATAGCGAGGACTGAGGATGGTAGTTTTTTGCTTTGCCAGAAAGGTAAGATTGAACAGTTGCTTGAGAAGTTTAGGATGAGTGATTGTGCAGGAGTGAGAAGTCCTATGGAGACTAGTTTTGTGAAGGACAGTCAGCAAGTAGAACGCGCTGCGTTCGAAAATACTGAAGTGTTTCAGTCAGCTCTAGGGAGTCTGTTGTATTTGTCCCAGTGGAGCAGACCAGACATAGCATTTGCTGTCAATCTGCTCAGTAGAGAGGCTGCAAGTCCTAGTGTACAAGCCTGGAATGGCATCAAGAGAGTTCTGAGGTATTTGCAGGAAACCAAAGACTTTTGTCTTAGGTTGTCAGCTCAAGGAGAAGTCAAACTGACTTGCTTTGTGGACTCGGATTGGGCTAACTCTGAGGATCGCAAATCAGTATCAGGTCTAGTGATGAAGTTTGGGGACTCAGTAGTTGGGTGGAGGTCCCGGAAGCAAAGTCTCATAGCGCTTTCGTCTACTGAAGCTGAGTTCAGTGCGCTATCAGATGCTTGCAGAGAGCTGGAGTTCTATGTGTGTTTGGTCAAAGAAATCTGTGAAGAGGATTGTCTGCCCGTTGTGGTGCATGAAGACAATCAACCATGCCTTAAATTAGCTGAGACGGGGCAATTCAAGGCGAGGACGAAACATTTGGACATACGTTTTCAAAATGTGTGTCAGAGCGTTCGAGAGGGGCTAGTTGCTCTGAAATACTGTCCCTCAACCAAGAACCTCGCTGATGGTTTCACAAAACCATTAACCTTCCAGAAACACGAGGAGTTCTGTGAGGGTCTGTGTATGGGGAAAGCATTGTTGGCTATTGTCCCCAGATGCAGGACAAGAGGGGGTGTGGAGTTTGGAACTGGCAGGGTTAAAACTCCGTGGTGCCCTGTATCTGGGAGGAGCTCTGGGAGGAGCTTGATGCAGGGAAATGCGTCACAGTGTGTGTCTGTGTTCAGTTCTACTTTCACTTCTGACTGAGACAGACACAGCTCAGCTCAGAGGAGCTGTGAGGGTGCTTTTGGAAGCACGGAGAATGGCTGAAGTTTCCGATGGATGTTAATGGATTTATTGCCTTGTAAATAAACGCTTCTAAAGATAAGAACCGATCTGCCTATGGACTTGATTTATCCCTTTCTCACATGGACTCAGGACCGCTGCATTACTCTGCTAGGCCAGCTCAGAGCTTCCAGGGATACGGAGCTGAACTGGGAAGCTTGCTGGACCCAATATTCCGGACGGGGAATTTATTTTCACCCCCAGAATTTCTGTCCTATTAATATACTTGGAAGAGATCAATTCTTTCCTCTCCTGGACTTACATTTGGAACTTCTTGCCAATCCATGTCAATCAGATGCATTACCTTTGAAACTACTGTTATGAAATTCACTCTCACAGTTGCTAAATATCTGAAAGTATATTTATCAAGTAATATCTGAGGAATAAGTAAGTAAATAAATAAATAATAAATAAATAGCACACCTCCATTAGCTCTCTGAAGTAAGCTATTGCCATGATCCCTGCTTTTCTATTCAATAGGATACTGGGAAAATGCATTACATAACAGGATTGATGCAGTTGTTGGGAATTGGTGGAAAACATGATGTATAGAACTGCTTCACAGATAGTGGGCTCTCTGTGCCTCTGATCTGATTATAATTCTACCATTTCAACTGCTATCATTTACTGCCTAGTCTACACATTGGAACCACTCAAGTCAATGGTTAAATTGCCATGCAAGCTGACCACAAATGGCTATGTTCATTGTTTATTCATATATTCCAGTAAATACTGGAGAATGCTTATCAAGAAGCAATATTTTCTGAGGTAAACTTTCTATGAACACAACAGGCAAAAAAGACCAGTTTCAATCTCTGGTTTAAAATCTAACTATGATACACATGAATTCTGGTAATGCTGAATCATAGTTATGTTAATTACAGATTTTCAGTGTGTGGGTTTGTGAAAGCTGGGGGAGGAGATGGAGCATCGTCCCAGCCTGTTGGGTAGTGTTACATCTGAAGTGATCCATGGAAATGCACTGAAAGTACAGGGTGCACATTATAGAAACGAATAAATTTCACACTGCTTGAATGCAGGATTTTAAACATTTACTGTGGTGAATAGTTAGGCAAAAATAAAACTCCTTTTTTAACATGGAAACAGTGGTCAACATACGTTTTACACAAGACTTACCTCTAAATTAAATTCATTGCTGGTGTAACGTCCATTAAGTTCTGAGCACTTGATTCTAAACTTCCTGTCAAAGATGGAAGATGTGTGCCAATTACGATAGCGTAACTGTCGCAAGACTTGTGCGTAGTTTCTCATTGTGTCCACACCTGAAGCCATAAGACATCATCAGTAAGTAAATGAAAACATACACTGCACAGACTATAGCCATGAAATAAAAATAAGGTTGTTGGTTTTTTTAGTAAATGAATAGCTTAATAATTTGAATGTTAAAATATGACATTAAAAACACATGTGTCTGATCAACGCATGTAACAAAAAAGGTATATGCCTAGAAATCATAATGGGAACAAACAGACATGTCATCACTAGCATTAAATCAATAAGGTTAGTTTCACAAGACGCACTGAAAATCGAAGTTTGTTTTTCCCATGTTAGCCCTATTAAAACATGGGCTGAAAATGAGGAGAGATGCACACACAGTTGTCCCCACATTGAGAGGGAAGGTCTGAAGGGAGATTCTAAGGAATATAAAGAGAATCCTTCCCATGACTGGGATACCTACCTTACTTTGAAAATCCCCTTATCTTGACATCCCCCTTCAGACCTTCCTTCTTAACACAGAGCCAGAGCCCAGTGCCTGTAGGAGGTGGAGTCGAGCTTGCAGGTGGGCTCCCTTTCCTCTTGGAAACCGTATGTGTTTGTCCCCAAAATCTGAAGTGGCATATTATCAACCCACATCCCACCATCTTGTAGTACAGGATAAGATATATATTCCTCAACATGGACAGAACAAAAGCCAGGCATAACTCCGGCAAAAATAATAAATACTATTGGTGGCTAATAACAATCCTCTTTAGGGCTGCATCTTTTTATAGGGATATAACATTTTCCATTCATAATATTATTTTGAAGAAAACAGACATATATTTAGGGACTATCATTCGAATTATAAACAGCAATTCTTTTTCTGCTAAGTGCTACATTAACAGTATTTAGAAATCTGAGGTATTTTATTATTTCTTTGGTTTAAAAAGCAAGACCAGATCTAGTACAGAAAACCTAAAGCATTTACTTGTTGGAAGTCAGCAATAACCAGGTCATTTGCATCCAAATGGAGGCAGGGTTATCTCCCCCATAGCAGGACCCCACATCCTCCAGAGAACAATTATTCACATGATGGATTTGAAGCAACTCTTTCTAAGTTTCACCATGCTAATGAATTCTACTCTTTCCTTAAACAAAAGGCTATAACTTCCAAATCGCAAAAAAAAAGAACATTTAATTTTAAACTTAGAAAATAAATCGAAAAGGGGAGGAAAGATCAAGAAATTAAACATACCATATATTGAATACCCTGCTGTGGAGTTTGTAGCATCCAAGTGTTTTCCTTGAAGTTCTGTCCGATCCAGTTCTAAACACTCATGTGTGGGGTCCAGTTCTGCTCCAATTACCAAAATGTCACAAAAATCCAAGTTATGGTGCATTTCTTCTAGGGTAACTGGTTTATGGACTGAGGATCAAACAGGAGACACACATAAAAGATCCAAGTTAAAAAGCAGCTTATGGTGATACTATACAATGCGCTGCAACATGAGCTGCCCCCTTAATAGGGGAAATACACCTACATCAGCCAACACTGCACTCACTTGCAGAAAGTGGCTTTTTGCAGCCTTCCCCTATTCAGAACGGAATGGGAGGGTAGACATCCAGCCCTGGTATCCAGTGAAATGTGGCCATTGAGGGGAGAGGTTTCAATGTAGGAAAGTCTTAGCCAATACAAATGCAGGCTGAGGAGGAAACACAAACAGCCTCTTGTGCATTTTGGATTTTTGAGGAAACATTTACGTAGATTTTTGTAGGTGACGTAGGAGGCACTGTGGGCACACTGGCACTCCCCAGGTGCCACATTGGTAACCCTTGCGCTAGGACAATTGGAAGCAGTGTTTGAAATTCCCATTGTTCTAGTCGCATTTTGTGACAGGGAATTTCATTAGCACAAGCAGTTTCTGAGCTCTGGGCGCAGTACTGCGCAGTACCTAAGATTTCAGATTAAAACTGCAGAGTGGAAGGAAAGAGGACCTTTTTTTGCCTCCCCATTTCCAGCTGAAGACTGGAGATGAAACCCTCTTAAGAATATTAAGGAGATGGGCAGGGGAAGAACAGGACCATGTGAAAAATGAACATAATATTTTAGCTGCAGTTCATTCATTTTCAGCTTTGTATTCTTGTTATAAAAATAAGCGCGCCTAGACATTCTGTTGTTGCGCCCATAACCTGTAGGCCTAAGCTGCCATTTAGCTGCTAGCTGTCATATATCAGTTTGTACACCGTTTGGAAGGTGTATTAAAGCACAGTATAGGTCCCTGGACATTATTCGAAAAGCACAGAATTAAAATTTAATCTTGGAAACAAATTTACATATGGATAGTTTTGTGTGTACTGACACCAACAAGGCCTTCACAGTATGAAGTACGGAAACCATGTAACCAAGGAGTTGTGAACTGGAGCAAGACTTCTTCTCTGCCAGTACATTTGTCTCAGTCACTTTATTACTTAAAGAAGGAGACAAGATCCAGTACCACCCATCTATGCAACTTGATGATTCTTAATGGGCAACGCTTGTAAAACTGAGATATAAACTTGCTCTATTTCACTACGGAGAATAACAACTATCTTGTCACAGAAGGAAGAGTATGCAAATTTCATATTTAATTCTCTGGTCCACTTGGCATCAAGTGGCTGGAAAATTGACTTAAACTGTTTCTCTCATGGGATACATTTGGAAAAATATAAAAGGAATGTCTCTTGTAGAAAAGTCTTTCTGCAGTTATGAAAGGCTTCGGCCCCCACATGTGATTGCTGAAAACCTTTCCACCATGGTGGTTCTTGTATTGTTGGCATAACATTTAAAAACACTGTATGGCCTGTGATAATCAGAACCGAAGTCAGGGTCTGCAAGCCAGTCTGTATATCCCTGGTACTCCTGTAAAGTTTCCTGCGTGCAATTTTCTTGTAATGTAAGTGAATTGCATATAATGCAACATGAGAAAGAGTTTCTCAGAAATCTGATTGTGGAAAAGTAATGTCTAAATTGGATTGCAGGGTTCCAGCATAAACAAAATTTTCTCAATACGTTAGGAAGCCTAGTCCTAACATAGCACTATATCCTAGTTTCTTTGTTTGCACTAAAATATAGTCCGTTTATTCTTTTATGCTGAGGGTGAGTGACATTTGCACTGATACCTCAAGTGCATTAAATATATATTCACAGGTGCAAAGACAGGCACTTTAATATTGCTTTAGCTACCAAAGAAAACATAACATATAGAAAAATAGTTCCAACTTAAATATAATTCAAAGTTGTGAGCCGATGATTAATGTTGGTAGCAACATGGTTTACGGCAATTTGCTTTACCCACTTTTTCCAGCTATAATTAAAAAGAGCATAAGCTTATAACTACAATGGACTTCAATGCTTTTCAAAATTAGATTGTCAACATTTGATAGCAAATGCTTTCAATTCCATTCAAAATAGTTTGTGGCCAACTAACAATTAGATGCATTGCGGTACCAATGTTTCAGGAAACTAATTCCTCATTGTGAAACATTTCAGCCCCTCTCAAGCTCCATAATACATAATTCTAGATGTAATCTAAGTATTTCCTACATGGCTCAGGGACTGACAATGCCATAACCGCCCATGAAAAATGTTTGTCTTCTGACCCAGTTTAGCTCAGTAGCACTGTCATCTGTTTTACTGTCCTGTGGAGCATGGGGCATGACCAAGGCAGGGATCAGGGTAAAATGCTACTGATGCAGGCAAACTGGTGTGTTCATGTACATGCACATGTGTCTGTATGGATAAAAGCAGCATCAAAATTTAGCAAATGCCTGGATAAAGGAAGGAAGCAGTGAAAGATGATGCCTGAAAAATCAGAAATGAAAGACAAAATTAGCTCTAACAATGATAGAGAAAGGGGGAAACAGGTAAGTGGTTTTGAGAGAGAGAAAATGAACAAGTTTCATTATTTCCCCACTTAGCTTTATTTTCTCTCTTATTGAACTTTCTAGTTTTACAGCAGTGCTGGATTAACATCAACCACTGAACATATCTTCAAAGTGTAATTTCCTGCTCCATCTACATCTCTTTCATATAAAATTGTTTAAAAACATACAGCATTACTTTTCATTTGGACTCTCATTTAATTATACTGGGGCAGCTAAGAATTCCAAGACTTTGATTTTATTGTAATATCAGATGTAAAATGAAACAATTGTATGCACAGTTTGATCTGTATGATTTTGTGTGATTATGGGCTTCTCATTCACTACCTTGCATAAACAAGAAGAAAAGCTTTTTTGGGGGTGAAGTGGAATGAGAATGGGAGGAAATAGAAGCTATTTTGTCATTATTTAAATATATCTGCTGTTTTTTCTGTTTTTAACTATTCTTAATTATCTTTAGTGTACATGTCCCTCAGCTCTAATAATAATAACAGTAATAAATAATAATAATAATAATAATAATAATAATAATAATAATAATAATAATAATAATTTGTTTGCTGCAGAGCTACTGTGGTTATCAGCCCACTGCAAGATTTGGATCTTCTACTGAGCCAAGAGAAGCACTGTGTGCTCCAATGGACTCACTGGAACTCCTAAGTGTGTAGAGGATTGCAGCCTGAGTTTGTGTAACTCCTTGCCAACATCCCATCCATATCACTGGAATGAAGACATGGGCACCAGATAAGGATGACGGGAAGTCTGACCTTTATGTGATCAATGAAAACCACTTTACCCCCTTTCAGTACAATTTATACCCTTTACTAAGGTGAATCATAGGGGACGCAGGTGGCGCTGTGGGTAAAAGCCTCAGCGCCTAGGGCTTGCCGATCGAAAGGTCGGCGGTTCGAATCCCATCGGCGGGGTGCGCTCCCGTTGCTCGGTCCCAGCGCCTGCCAACCTAGCAGTTCGAAAGCACCCCCAGGTGCAAGTAGATAAATAGGGACCGCTTACTGGCGGGAAGGTAAACGGCGTTTCCGTGTGCGGCTCTGGCTCGCGAGAGCAGCGATGTCACGCTGGCCACGTGACCCGGAAGTGTCTCCGGACAGCGCTGGCCCCCGGCCTCTAGAGTGAGATGGGCGCACAACCCCAGAGTCTGTCAAGACTGGCCTGTACGGGCAGGGGTACCTTTACCTTTACCTTAAGGTGAATCATAGAATCATAGAGTTGGAAGAGACCACAAGGGCCATCGAGTCCAACCCCCTGCCAAGCACGAAACACCATCAGAGCACTCCTGACATATGGTTGTCAAGCCTCTGCTTAAAGACCTCCAAAGAAGGAGACTCCACCACACTCCTTGGCAGCAAATTCCACTGTCGAACAGCTCTTACAACCCATGCAACAGTGCAGGCAATAAAAGGGACCATTCATCTGGCCAATTCTGACAGGAATCTAAAAAATCTTACTTGGCTCCTAAGAGGAAACCAGCTAATCCTGCGCTGTCTAAGCCTGGTTGGTTGGATAGACAGGACATTGTCGTCCAAGGAGGGAGGCACTGAGACAGGCACAAATGTCTTGAGTACAGCAGCTGCACTGCCACCGCCACCCAGACATGAGGCAGCATTTTCTTTGCATGTTGCTCCTGTCATGGGAAAGAGGCTACTGCCCCTCACCAAAATACAGAACGGTGAGGTGAAGCACGAACAGAGATGAGGCATTCAGAGTACTACTTCTAGCCACATCTACTCTGCAGCATTTCCCTCCTAAATTGTAATTGTTGTTGTAAGCCTAAAAAGGGTGAAAACATACTGCCTTTCAGTATACCTAAGAAGCTTCATGGATTATAGAAGGCTACAGAACGTTTGGAGGAAACCTAGCTGGGTCTATTATTTTTTAATATTAAGCATGCAATAGGTTTTGTCTCAGTAATATGTCCTCCTCAGTGCTACCTGGCGCTCAGTCTCTACTGCCACAGAAACCATAAACTCTTAAAACCCACAAACCTCTCTCTTCAGTTTCCTTCAAGTCAGGAGGGTGTTCCATTTTAGTGACTGTGCTGACAATTCTGATATCCGGTAAAAGAATCACGCCTCTTTCTTGTTCAAATTGTGCAGCCGGTCTTGCAAAATGATCCATCCCACTTATTGTAATCTTGGGCTCCTTGGCCTGAAACACCATTACATAGGCATCTATATCTGGGATACTAATGCAGACATCTTCACCAAAACATCTGAAAAATATATTATTCATTAACTTCATGGAAGAGGTTTTAGTGTACATTCTTCCTTTGCAAGAAGCACACAGTCTGATGAAAAAAACATTTCAGCCAATTCTTTCTTCTTCTTTTTTGGAATGTTAGCACATATGCCTTTCCCCCCTGTCTACCCATAGGGCAGCTATGAACCTACTCAGCTCCCTGTGAACATTAGGAGCACAATTACTCAAATTATTTAAAGGGTAGCTGAGCATATCATTGGTAGGCATGATCTTTAGTAAGGTCAATGCACACATACCATTTAAACCCCTTAAATAACATATAACCAACAGTCAATTGTTAAATCTGATTTGATGGCTTCTAATTGTTAGGCATTTTACATTAGGTACTCAAATTGATACTTAATGGGTTTGATATAGCTATCTTGTTAAATGTGCATCACGAACCTAATCATCCATTTTATACTGAATGCATCAGGAGGCCATTTCACACACATCCAGAACTCTATCTGAAGTCAATGGGCATGCAGGAATTAGGAAATTACTGTATAGCTGAAATTATTTCACTGTAAAAGTAAATGTAATTCTTAAGCTATTCGCCAATTCATTAAAAGACCAATTATATTGATAGATTTTATTTTCATGCCATTATTCCACATCCAAACCTGTAAGGTTCTTGATATGAGGTTAAATGAAGTATAAGCAATGGTTGAATCAAGCTCAGTGAGTATAACTTACTGGACTTTGGATGAGACTTTAAGACGGCGAATGCCTGAAGTTGGAAACTGTCTTGAGTTGATATAGGAGACCTTTTGGAGAGCTTGATTTATATTCACAATGTCATCTCCTTCTATTACAAGTACTGACTGGGAAGGATTGAAGTGATACTGGTGGGTGGGGGGCAAAGAATATAATTAGTATTTAGAGAAGTAATGTAGGATGAGTCATAGAACATTCTGAATAACAAGCTTCTAAAAACTGTTTCACAGAGACCAGTTATATTCCCATCAATTTTTCAAAAAAACAAACCTACAACCCTGTAATTTTATTAGCTAATGTTTGTTCTATATGTAAAAGCCATTTATGAGCAAGCACCCACCAGGCACTCATCTACCATACCTTTTAGTAATTATTGCAGCTATAATTAACAGTAAAATAAATTAGAAGTCAGTGGAAGCACTTTGAATCAAGACAATTTCCTCTACTCTTCATATTTAACCATCGTGCTTTTGCCATAACTGCAGCTTATTACAATGAAATATAGGGGTCATTTTTTCTCTGCAAGTTCAACAAAAATATTCCACTTTGTCAATTTCAAATCCTTATTCTAAATGTGCAGATGCTTTCTTATTCCACAATAGCAATGAGTGTCTAGTAAATCCAAATCACAATATGCTATTGGCCTCGTGGTCCATACATGAAGCAGAATATGGTGTGTGTGTACGAACTGGTAGAGACTAATTCATACAACTTCTGACTATAGGAAGATGTGCCATATTTTTAAATTATCCAACATGTAGACGCTGGAAGGGAATGTCATCGCCTGCAGCAGGCTGTATGATATGTTAATTATGTTTAGAAAGTTGAGGCAATTTTACTCTGTTTTAGTAATTTAGCATTTGTATGTTTTAAAGTATGGTGGAAAATTTCTCTTGATTTTCTCTTTTTGTAAACCGCTTTAAATAATCATGTAGAATATAAACTTTATTCAATAAATGAAATAAATATGAGATCAGGATTATATTTTACTTCACATATATGTCACTAGACATTGCTAAGTTCGCTGTAGATGAAAGAAACTGTGCTCGCTTGCTCAAGTTTGTTAAAATGTCAACATCTGTATCCTTATTTACCTTTGCTTACTTCATTAGCCTAGACCAGTGGTTTCCAACCTTTTTTTGGCCATGCCCCTCCTAAGCATCTCTAAAATCCTGATCCACTCCCCCCCCCATGACATATAATTCTTATTATTCAAAAAATGAACTCCTGTTCATGTGTAGGAAGCCTAAAAGGCCATTCACTGTTAATAACTCATTCTCGAATTGCCCCTCTTAAAAATCAAATCACCCCCTTGTGGGGCATGTGCCCCATGTTGGGAACCATGGGCCTAGACAAAATGGCACAATCAATTTATATGAAATGGCAAGTGTAACAACAGATGACTAGTGAACATCTAATTACCAAGCTCACCTGCACATCCATCCTGTTCTTGTTTCCCAAATTAGGCAAAGTTTCAGACAATGCTTCCTATCTCTTTGTTCCAGGTTTGTGTTTTATATTTTTATGCAAAAGCTACTTGGCATGCATGCACACGATTTGCTTCTATGAACAGGTATGATCTGTATACAGATTTATTTTTATTTTTATTGAAAGACAGGCACAATCTGTCTTTATTACTGTTCTGTTCAACTCTAGGGCCAACTGCAGTTCTTTCATCAGGACATGTCACTGTCAGGCCAACTAGGAAATGCTGCACGAGACCCTATTTCTGACAGCTCCTCTCATTTTCCTCTCCTGCTGTCACACTGACTCTCAAAATAGCTGAAAAGGTAAAAATGAAAGGAGGAACTTGAGCCATGCCAGCTTGTAGATTGGAGACAGAGATTGTTTTGAAGCTGAAAAATTAAACTCTTGCATTTATTTCTCCCACCCGCAGCTGCTTCACAGAGACAGCCGCTTGTCCATACTAGATCAGCCGTTGGGAGGCAAAACAGAAGACAAGAAATGCTGGCACTCCTCAAGCAGGCTTCAAAGAATTGTCAGCTGCAAACAGCAGTGTACAAACTGTGTTTCCTATTGATCACGAGATAAGCAAGAGCTGATAGAGGGCAACATACATTTTTAATAAACAACGTATTTCTTTATACATATTTGCTCACAGCCAAGATTTTATACAAAATATTTTTAATTTATGTTTGATAAATGTGAATTTAGCTGCTACTCTTTCTTTGAAGACGAAGAAAACCCTGGGAAATCATGTGTTTGCATCATTACAATGGAAAAGCAACTGCTGAAAATATTTGGAACATTTCCATTTGTTAACCTACGACTGTGATATTTAGATTTTAAGCTTACAAAAAGAAAGCTTTGCTCTCCTCACACATCCACCACCCAGTCTGCTTTCTGCTGCTTTGTACAGGGGTTTCCAAGTGCCCAAGTGCTGTTGGGCACTCCCCCAAAGCACTGAGCACAGGGCTGACAAAATCCCTTGTTTGGGGTTCCCAGTGCCCAGAAGCCAGTAGCCTTGAGCCAGTCATTGCCTCTCATCCTAACCTAACTCACAGGGTTGTCGTGGGGATTAAATGAGGAGGGGGTGAACCATGTACCCCACCTTGTAGAAAAGGAGGGACATAAATGCAACACATAAACTAAATTATAAAATGTTCCTTACATATTATTCTTTTGCATCCTGGTCTTGAGTTCAAGCTCAAAGAGTAAATAATCTTCCATTGCAGGGACATCTTGAATTCAAGCCAGGGATCCAAAGAATTATCTTTTGTTTGCAGTTTCAATGCAAGCTGGAGAGGCACAGAGGTGTTTCCAGCTATTCCACCCCCTGAATTTGTAGTTGTGTAAGAAGCTGCTGCAGGAGAGACAGCAGTCACAAAATTAAAAGACGCCTGCTCCTTGGGAGAAAGGCAATGGCAAACCTAGACAGCATCTTAAAAAGCAGAGACATCACCTTGCCAACAAAGGTCCGTATAGTTAAAGCCATGGTTTTCCCGGTAGTGCTGTATGGAAGTGAGAGCTGGACCATAAAGAAGGCCGGTCGCCAAAGAATTGATGCTTTTGAATTATGGTGCTGGAAGAGACTCTTGAGAGTCCCATGGACTGCAAGAAGATCAAACGCATCCATTCTTATGGAAATTAGCCCTGAGTGCTCACTGGAAGGACAGATCGTGAAGCTTAGGCTCCAATACTTTGGCCACCTCATGAGAAGAGAAGACTCCTTGGAAAAGACCCTGATTTTGGGAAAGATGGAGGGCACAAGGAGAAGGGGGCGATAGAGGACGAGATGGTTGGACAGTGTTCTCGAAGCTATGAACATGAGCCTGACCAAACTGCGGGAGGCAGTGGAGGACAGAAGTGCATGGCGTGCTCTGATCCATGGGGTCACGAAGAGTCGGACACGACTAAACGACTAAACAACAACAAGAAGAAGCTGCTACAGGAGAGAAACTGTGAGTAACACCATGTGAGGAGTTACTGCCTGAATGGTGATGCTAACAGGGAAGTGGATTCTTTGGGAAAGCTGAGGACTAGATGCTTGATCAGATTAACTTGATAGTTGCCTAATTTGTAGCAGACATAGCAACAGTGGGTAGGACATCTAGGACAGGTGTGGAGAACCTTTGACCCTCCATTTGTTGGTGGATTACAATATAGTCATACCTCGAGTTGAATGTGCTTCAGGTTGAATGCGTTCGAGTTGCGCTCCGCAGCAACCCGGAAGTAACGGAGCGTGTTACTTCTGGGTTTTGTCGCTCGCGCATGCGCAGACACTCAAAATGACATCACGCGCATGCGCGGAAGCAGCGAAACGCGACCCGCAGACACGCCGTCGCGTCTTGCGTTCCATTTGGGATGTGAACGGGGCTCCGGAATGGATCCCGTTCGCATCCCAAGGTACCACTGTACCCATAAATCCCTGGCCCTTGGCAATACTTACTGGGACTGATGGGAGTTGTAGTTCAGCAACATCTGGAGGGTCTACTGTTTCCCACACCTCTAGGACCAAGGACAAACAGTTCAAACTCCCTTGTTATTTTTGCCACTGCTAGGAGGTGCAATGCTGCTACATTTATAATACTGGGGTTTTTGGGGGGGGTTGTATGCCGTTGCATTTACTATATGTAGCTGTGTTTATTATTGCTGTTACTATGAAATTATACTTGCAATTGTTGATTTTGTGATATATCTTTGTAAGCTACATTGAGCATAACTTCTGCGTGGAAAAGGGGCATAAAAAAAGGTGTTGATGACGAAGGGAAAGTTTTTATATTATTTTATTATTTATTTCATAAAATGTGTACACCGCTCAGTCGTTGAAAGACTCATCAAAGTCATTTACAAATGATAAAATAGTAAAATCAAGAGGGGGAGAAATCACATTTGGTGGTAATGTCAGGTGACTGGCAGGTGGGCGGGGCTGTGCACCTGTTCAAGTGGCCCATGGGGTTGTGGTGGTTGAATTGTTGATCCCATTTGCCTCCTCCATCCAGTTACCCATCCCTGCTCTAATGGTAGTCATCTTCAAGGTGCTACAGTAACTGTAGCACACGCCTGATGATATGTGTGCTGTATCTCCTGGGGAACGTGCATGTTTCTATACAATGTCTCAAACATACCATGAGCAGAATTGAATGCTGAAAAGCCAAAGGATTATGAAACACCCATGGCGCACTTGGTACCTATAGGTTTATAAAGGCAAAAATGTAGGCATTCAGCGCCACATAGCTCCTCTTCTGCTCAGCTGCTTCCTTGCATGACTTCATGGCATATTAGATGGCTTCTGGGAATACATTTGTACTCTACCTTGTGCTCTTCACTTCATAAATCAGCTTTAAATGTTATCAAAAATGATGTCAGTTCATCCCTCACCTTTAGTCCTTGGCCAAGACTCTCCAGGGAGTTAATATCCAAACCTTCCTTGCAGGCTTGCAAACAGGAAATCACTTTCTGACTCTCAATTTTGCCTGGTCGGATGGTTAGGCTGGCAAGGCTGCCATGGAAAAACTGAGCAAATCTGGGTTTAGAGACTTCACCTCCTATTAAAAAAAAGAAGCACAAATCGTAGCTGATAATAATTCATAGATACATTTTTATTTATGGCTATCAATATTTCCAACACAGTCTTTAAATGTCTGAGACAACTGACAATCCAGCTGCTGTTGTAATCCCAAACAGAATTCCAAATAGAAAGTGACTCGTACATTGTTACTATTTATGGTTATAATGCTCCAGACCTATCTGCACATTCTAATTCCCATGCAATTAGATTGCATGAGGGAAAGTGGGGGCATGTGCACTAGCTCTGCCCCCTCCATCACTGTCCCTATCATCTGTCACAAGCTGAAGGTAAATGTGTGCAGTGACGATCCTGCTCTACTCCCCATGCAATTTCCCTGGAAGAAAAGACTCCCCACATCCGAAGTTATTCCTCCAACTTGTGGAAGGTGTCAGGTATGACGACAGAGGGAGGTAGAGCTAGCACACTCATTTCCTTCATGTGAGGGATTAGAATGTCTAAATATCACCATTTATATTATTAAAAACTCCTGCTTTCATACGGGAGTCTGATGTGAAAATGCATTCTAGTTGGAGACATGGCCCGCAAAACATCAAGTGATGTAAAAGCTGCTTCTACAATTTTAATTTAGAAGCAGCATAAAGCTAAGCATCAAACTCTATTATATTTTAGAAGATATTTGTGATTCTGTAGATGAAGAAGGAAACCTGAAAATAACATGCTGTTTAAAAACAAAGCACCAACCAAATGAAAAGGCCATCTATGCTGCTTGCTGGTCCTGGGAATAGTAAATCTCTTATAAAGCAATATGCAATTAGTTACTGTTAAATTAACAAAATGGCCTTCCTACCAAATTTGCTTACCTTCTATATAAACTGACATTATGCTGCTTAGTAATGACTGCCTGTGATATATAAAACTAAATAGAAATGAGTGGCTGATAGAGGAAAGAAAAACAGACTCATTATGGAGTAAATTAAGGAAATAAACCCATTCAAGATTAACATCTGATTTCAGTCATGCCAGTGGGTGAGGTATGGGTGAATCAGAAGCAATTGGATTTTGCACATTGATTTCATGCACATTGATTTATTGGGGTATAGGCTGCTTTGGTTTGATTTCATCAATAACATAATTGCATACTGAGGTGGATTCTCTTACTGATTCATGAAACTCGGTACCTTATAATATGCATCAAGCCTGCAATTACTACCACCAAACATTTCACAGAACATTTTTACTTGGTTTTATATTTTCTACATCTGCACCACATTATGATACTAACCCATATGATGTATATTTCCATATTAACAATGAACTACTATTGCTTTTAAGGAAGAAGCCACATTTCTAGGAGGGAGAGTCAGAATGACTATAACTGACAACAAACCACACACAGAGAGAGAAATACTTGTGTATACTAATAGCAAAAGAGACATGGCCAACAGATATTTTAATATTTCCCATTTTACAAGATGCATTAACTATTTTTAAATTGTTAGAGAAATGCAAGCCCCTAAAGTGTCACTTGCAAAAGCTAACCAACACCCTCCTTGGGACACAAATAGAGAGTACACAGCACTGACAAATGCATCAGAAGCGTTATGGTTTAAAAATAAGCATCCAGCTGAACAGTTATCCTTCTCAAGGGGTTATAGTACAGACACTGGTCACGTCTGCCATTGGCAGCACCTTCTAGGTCCACCTGAGCAGCTTCAGCCAGACAACTAGTATAAATAAAAGAGACAGTCCAATTGAAACTTATTTATAGATCCAGCAGAGAAGACAAACCCACCTGCATCATAAAAATTAATGATGAACCATAGTGTTGATGCACCACCTGAGCCCAACCAAATGTAGCCAAACTTCACAACCATTTAGTTACTTGCAAGGACAGCTACAACAACAATAAAAAGGGAGTGACAGTGTTGTCAACATTGAAATGACACACAGATGGGCTTATTTATTTTAACTTCCTAGGAAAAAAATTAACAATTTGAACAACTGAGAGGACAGTCTACTTCTGCCAAAAGGCTTCATTCATATTTTATGACTTTGTCCTTTTATTACCAATGATGGAAAACCCATAAACAGTTAGGTTCATGGTACCATATCAGCTTTGGAAAGGAAAGAAAAACGTTGTTAAATAAAACTTTAGTTATTTTTCCTAACGGAATTTTAATCTGTTTCAGGTATCAAAAAATGTCACCAGTTTCAATTTCCAAAGGGTCTCTTAAACAATAAAATCACACCCTATGCCAAGGAATTAGTACTGCACATGAATTCTACTTGGCGAACAACAGAGCATAAACTGCACACCCATACCTCAATTAGGAGAACCTAATTGAACAAGAAAGACTAATCTGTATTGAAATAAGCAAAGAAAGGACAGTATATCTTGCATTCTGACACAAAATACCCATCTCATATGAGATGCATATTCTCAGGTTCTATTTGCAACTTCATGAAAAATAATTTGTTGAATGGCCTGCACCTGTACCATCCTGTTCACACATTAAGATTTCAAATGGAGGCCCTCCTGCTGTGCCCATCCCTTACCTCAGTGTGATGAGTGGCCAGCGGGGGGGGGGGGAGAGAGACTTTTCCATGATGAATTATATGAATTGGCATATTATGTTTTGAAATGAAGTGGCATCTAGACTATTATGCAATGATGTGTTGGTTTGTATGTTTTGATGTTGTGTTGGAAGCCACTTGGGGTACATTTATGTGGCAATGTGTGATGCAACTGAAATCTACTACATCTATATTTTGGGAAGCTGTTTGTTTGTATATCTGTTTTCTATGTATTTGGACGCTTCTTAAGATAACATAACCACATTTTGCATAATTGTTCCTGAGATCGAAGAGCAGGTTGCCATCTGTGTTCGGATCCAGTTGGACACCACTTTTAATCAAGATGGTAGACTGAACCTTTGAAACTGCACTTTTTTGGGGGGATTCCTATAAATCCCGAGCAATTCTGAATATGAAGTTGCCAATTGTCAAATAAATAAATAATGACTTTCAGGACAACATAACACATACAACTATTAAGTATGTGATTAGAGCATGGAATTATAAATTCAAATAGGATATGCTTTCTGAAGCCTGGTGTGGCCTTCTTGAATAGATGGGTGATGACACTGACTTGCAGTGTCAGTTTCTGTCTCCTGCAAGAATATACCCAAATCCCATGTGTTCTTTTTGTATGAGCAAAAAGGTGTGCTAGTCTAGTAAGCTCTGCTAGTACACTAACTTCTGGGGTGTTTCCCCTATTATAATTTTAATGGGTAAATATTAGTCTTCTGCAGCATACCCACTAAGATGGTAATATCTGAAGCCCATATACACATTTTTTCCACATTGTGTACAGTGTTTATCTCATCATGTACATTTTTGCAGTGTATATGAAGTGGACAAACAAAGAAGCACACACTATGATTATAGTAGATAGAGTTGTGGTCTGAAATATGTATGGATTAAAATTGTTGTGTATCATGTAGTCATGTGAGAATTTTAGGACAGAAATGAGCAACAGAAATATAGTTAGCAGTCCTTAGAAGCATCAACACACTACAAAACACTATTGGTCCTATTATGCTAAATAAAGTTGTGTTTTAATTAATTTTGATTATATGACCAACCATGCCTTTTAGGCAGAAAAAGCAAAGGAGGATGATTCACTAATCTGTTTTGTTGTTGTTTTAAACATGGGATTATGGTTTGTCAGGACACAAAGAGGAAGGGGAAGAAAACAGCAAAATTACTTCCATTGTTTATATGGTAATGTGACTTAATTTGTTAGGAGGCATTGTCTGAAAGAGCTACTCAGTGTTGACTCCATTGTGGAAATGACACAAGTTAATTACTTCATCCCTCACCACAACTCTTAAGATACCAAAATGGCTTTGCAGTATTGGAAGTAATGACTTTTCAGCTATGGAAAATGGAAGTGCAACCTTTTGACAGTAATTAACTCATGTCACGGCTATAGTGACAGGAGGTAAAGAGTTATACATATAGAAAGGATTGGTTCCTGAGGGGAACACTATGAAATTGAGACTTTATCTTTTTTCAAAGATACTCTGATGAAGTCTGTGGGAAAAGAGTTCATATAACCTGCTTACTTCTCTGCCTGTCTTTGCCACAAAATGATTGTTGGTAACTAAAGAGCCAAAGGCTTCTAAACCTTGGCATTATTGAAGTCATCATTTAGTAAGAGAGGTTCTTTGCCACATTGGCAGATGAACTGTTATCAGAACACAATGGCCTCTTATACAACTAAAAGACTGCTGCCAAAGAGTGCTATTATTAAATATAACAATGTGATAATCAATCTGATTTTACTGTCTGAAAGCTCAGAAAAGAACTGCAAACATTAAAGAAGAGGAACATACTATATTCTATTGGTTATCACTACCAATACTGAGACACCAGGTACTGATGCAAATGCTCTATGAGACCCTTTGAGATGTTACACATGATCCAACAAAGTTTTATCACTGTCAATTTGTGTATTCAAGAAGTCTGCCTTTCATAAACTGAAAAAAGGCATATACAGTAATTCCTTATTTTTTCTACTCACCTGGTCAAGACAAGCATTACCATACATTGCTACCACAGAAGGTCTATAAGCTGCTCTATTTCAGGAGCACATTGTAAATAAGACTCAAATAAAATCTGTATGGAAGTTACAACCTCATGAGTAGGGAGGTCAGGCACTGACAGTAGTACTGTGTTCTAAAAACCAGCTTGATGAAAGCAGCTATACGTTAGCGGATCCTGAAGAAGCTTCTACTAATTAAAAATAAATACTTGTGGGCAATGTATTTTTGAAAGCCACAGTGCAAAGGATGCAACACAACTCTCTTACTACAATATTTTCTGTTACTGTGCATCAGCAAAAAAACCCCTACCCTTATATAGTGCCCTCCTGCCCCATGTATAGTTCGGTATCAAACCCTTGCCAGGCTAATTCTGCCATTTCTTGGAATAGCCATAGCAAACAGAGTGGCA